TGGGTGGCTCAGTCAGTTAAGCGTCTGCCTTCGGCTCAGGTCATGATCCCAGGGTCCTGGGATCGAGTCCCGCATCGGGCTCCCTGCTCAGTGGGCAGCCTGCTTCTCCCTCTGCCGGCCGCTCTCCCTGCTTGCACATGTACATGGTTGCGCATGCAAGCGCGCACTCTCTGGCAAATAAAATCTTTATTTTAAAAAAGGGAATTGTTGGCAAGGATGCGGAGAAAGGGGAGCCCTCCTACACTGTTGGTGGGAGTGCAAGCTGGTGCAGCCACTCTGGAAAACAGTATGGAGGTTCCTCAAAAAGTTGAAAACAGAGCTATCCTACAACCCAGCAACTGCACTACTGGGTATTTACCCCAAAGATACAAATGTAGTGATCTGAAGGGGTACACGCACCCCGATGTTTATGGTAGCAATGTCCACAATAGCCAAACCATGGAAAGAGCCCAGATGTCCATCAACAGATGAACGGATAAAGATGTGGTGTGCCTATATATACACAATGGAATATTACACAGCCATCAAAAAAAAAAAAATGAAATCTTGCCATTTGCAATGACATAAATGGAACTAGACGGTATTATGCTAAACGAAATAAGTCAGAGAAAGACAAGTTTCATATGATCTCACTGATATGTGGAATTTAAGAAACAAAACAGAGAATCATACAGGAAGAGAGAAAAAAATAAAACAAGACGAAACCAGAGAGGGAGACAAACCATAAGATTCTTAATCACAGGAAACAAACTGAGGGTTGCTGGAGGGGAGGGAGGCAAGGGATGGGGTGGCTGGGTGAGGGACACTGGGGAGGGCATGTGATGTAATGAGCACTGGGTATAAGACTGATGAATCACAGGCCTGTACCTCTGAAACCAATAATACATTATATGTTAATTAATTAAATTTAAGTGTTTTAAAAAATTACAAAACAGAATCATAAAAAATAAAAAAAATAAAAAGGGAATTAACAGCTGTAACATATTAAAGTAATACTTTAACTCCACTCAAAGAACAATTTTACTAAAAGTAAGTAATACCACAAGGTCAGGGATCAACCATACAACTTTTAACTAAATGAACCACTGTATGGAATCAGCCAGAAAAACTAAAAGTGTTATTCAAGATACCAGATCAGAATCTTCAGTGATCAGTCAAATTAAAAAAAAGTACATTCATCAGAAAATCTATAAGGTGAATTTTATCAGATGAGACTGCTAGTGAAAGAGAGTATGAAATTTAACCTACGACAAAATATAAAAAGCCTCCCAAAGTTCATGACATTTAAATTCAACATGGTGTATTTTTCATAATATAGGAGGAGAGACTGGTTAGCCATAATTATAGAAGAAAAATAACAGATATAAGCAAAATCTAGCAATTATCTACACAGTCCCACTATGAAAATGTTCAACACAATACTGAGATATATTAAAAGCAAGAAAATATGGAACGTGGAAATCTGTTCACTCTATGTTCAATTAATTAATCCCTCATTATTATGCTATATTTAGTTTTGGTCAGTGTACCAAGAAAAGGTGTGGAGAAATCAGGATAGATTCCTGAAAAGAAAGCCCAAGATCATTCAAGTCCATAGTTTTCAACCTTTCTTTAACCACAAGAGCTTCTGGGATACAAATTAAACACAAATTCCCAAAGATCCAACTTCGACTGATTCATTTTATTATGTAAAAGTTCTGTTCTTAAGGGCAGACTCTTATTTCTGAACCTCTCTAGCAGACCAGGCACTCAAAGGTTTCTTGAACTTAGCATAAGACCACTTTTTTCTAAGAAAGGCCAGCTGATAAGAAATGAATGTGGTTTACAGCAGAAACATTTCTGAGCTGAACAGAGGGAAGAAAATATACATATATACACCCACCCCCACAGCCCGTCAGAATGGTAGGACACAGGAATAAACTATTTTCAAAAGAGTTGGCTATCTCCAAGTATCTTTAAGACAAATAGTCAATCATCTGTTCACAGGACAAATCTTCCTGAATAGACCAAACCAGATTAACTAGTTAATTTCTCTTCTAGATCTAAAATTCTATCTTCACCTAACAGACCCATAACAACCTGTCAGGTTTATTACAACTCAACAACTCCTACCCTCATAGGGCTCTTAAGTAAGTCTCAGTGCTGAATGCTCTAAAACAAGACACAGGTTACTCCAGTGGCCCAGCACTCAGCCAAATGAGATAACCCACAAAATCAACTGTTTACCTATTATTTTTTTAACATATTTCAGAACCTTTCCAGAAAAAGAAAAATACCATCTATTTAATTTCTTTTTAAGATTGTATTTATTCATTTGAGAAAGAGAGAGAGAGAGAAACAGCATGAGAAGAGAGAGGGTCAGAGGGGAAGCAGGTTCCCCGCTGAGCCAGAAGCCCGTTGCTGGACTGATCCCAGGATTCCGGGACCATGACCTGAGCTGACGGCAGTTACTTAACAAAGTGAGCCATCCAGGCACCCTCATTTATTTAATTTCTTAAAGAAAAACATTTTTTAAAAGTCATGCAACCTTAAAAAAATTCCTACGGGTTCTCTCACCCCCAATGTCTCCAACGCTGCAAATAAACATTATGTGCCAGACACTATGCTTAACGTGTCACCCATATTATCTTATTTAATCCTCACCATCTATGAGGTACCATTAGTATCCCCACTTTACAGCTCAGAAATGTGACGTCTCAAAAGATGAAACGTGTGCCCAAAGCTATACATTTAAGCAAAGCAGAGCTTAGACTGGAATCCAGACTGTCAACACATAAGCCAACTTCCCTCTACTATGAACACCTACCCATACTCTGCATCTTCCTGGGTCTTTGAGCTTTAACACATCTTGTAAATCTGTAGAAGCTTCGATATGAGTGGCAGTATTTAATATTAAATCAAAACTATAATTAAAAAAAATTCCACTGAGAGAACCTATTAAATCAAGTCAGTAAGTAACTGAAATTTTACTCAACTAAATGTACCGTTAACTGTTGTGAGGGACAAAAGACATGGCAGTGGCCCTCAAGAAGCCTAGAGTAGAAATGAGAAGGCAAAAAACCGTAATTTTAATTCCAAAAAGGTTAATGAAAAATAATATGCAGAACAAGTCAAAAAACATCCAAGTCTCAAAGGGAGTGAGTTCCGAGGATATCACAAAGGATGGGTCGTACAAGGTGCCCACATCTGAAGGCTTCACTACCCACAGTTGGCCACACCTCACAAGAAAGCCAGCCCAGAACAGGAGAGTCCAAGACAGGCTGAAACCGGAATGGCAGTTGGTGAAGAGGGCTGCCAAGCAGAAAGACGATAAAGATGATCACTCTGCTGGTCTAGCAGAAAGGCAGTCACACAAACCTGAGCTCCTATGGGTCCAAGACAACAGCAGAGAAGATGCTGAGGCCACTTTCAGCCACTGAGGCCATTTCTGGTCTTTATATAATAAATCCCTGTTAACTAAGATCATCTCACCATGTTTCTTTTATTCTTTTAAAGATCTATGTATTTGAGAGAGAGAGAGAGAGAGAGCGCATGTGAGCGGGGGAAGGGACAGAGGGAGAGAATACCCAAATGGACTCCCACTGAATGTGGAGCCTGACACAGGCTCGCAGGATCCTGATATCATGACGTGAGCCAAAACCAAAAGTTGGCCACTTAACCAACTGCACCACCCAGGTGCCCCTCATCTCAACATGTTTCTATTCCCTGTCACCACAAAGAGCCTAACATAGAAACAACAAACTTAGAAAGGATTTATATAATGTGTAACCTTAGAGGAAATACAATAATCTTTTACATTTTTACATACTTATAAGAAAAAATGTAATTAGCATTAAAAATGTCAGAGTTAGGGCGCCTGGGTGGCTCAGTTGGTTAAGCGACTGCCTTCGGCTCAGGTCATGATCCTGGAGTCCCTGGATCGAGTCCCACATCGGGCTCCCTGCTCGGCAGGGAGTCCGCTTCTCCCTCTGACCCTCCCCCCTCTCATGTGCTCTCTCTCTCATTCTCTCTCTCTCAGATAAATAAATAAAATCTTTAAAAAAAATAAAAATAAAAAAATAAAAATGTCAGAGTTAAAAAAAAAAAAAAAGACCACTTATTTCATGTCCAAAAATAGTACATGGAGAACCAGAACTGTTCTTTCCAGGAAGAATTTCATTTGGCTTCAGCAATGTTAATTTACTTGGTGGTTTGTTTTTCTGATAAACCCCATGATTAAGGCTAGTGCTCAACTGTTCTAATTTCACCCTCAAAACCTACTTCTATAAGTGTCAGAAGCACTGTCTCTGCTTCACTTAGTTAATAATTCTTTATAGCATTAATATGCCTATATACATATACAGATCAAATTGATGCTTACTGAAAACAAGACACACAAATGGTCTTTTAAGACATCCTTCTATATAAAAGTGCAACATGTAATACATACTTTCCCTTGAGAAATATACTTACTTGTGTTTGAGAACAAATTTCACATTTTTGTATGCAAAGGCTACCAAGTAAGTGCTTACTAGGGTCATCACACTATAGAGAACAGCAGACTGAATAAGATCCATATGCCATATTCGCCAATATAACCCTGAATTAAGACAGAAGGGGGAGAGGAGGATACAAAAAGGAACAAAACATTACCACCCAGTTACAAAGGCATGCTCAATTAATTGTAGCTAAGCCTATAAAATACAGTCCAGGTTAGAAAATCTAACACAGTATAAGAGGATCTTCAGAAGTGATAAAGTTACAGTCTCAAACTTCCCCAGCTCAGAAAACTTGAAAAACAGAACCTTCCCATTACTAGTCCAGATGAGATTTCTGCTTCTTCTAAAATGAGAATAAACTCTGAATCCCGCTCCCCCCACCAAAAAAAATCAATTCAGACTTCAAGTTTCATTCATCAGGGTACTATTAAGCTAAGTACAGGCTGTTCCACAGCCACGTGCAGTCCCAAGCCATAGTTTACATGCTGACGTGGCTATCTGAAATCAACGGCCAGTGAGGTTTTAAAAGGCCAAAAGAAAATGAATCTCGACTTAACTGCCCAACAAACGTGCAGCAGTGTGAGGCAGGAGATTCAAATCCAGGAAACCTGAGCTATAACAACTTTGCTCAAGTCTGCAAAGTTCTTCCATCTAAATGAGAATCCTAGAATTGTCCTAATAGCATTAAAGAGTTTAAACAAGTGAGAGCGCCGGCTCTTGGCACTGTGCAACCTCTCTCATCAAATTAGGAAAACAATGTTCAGCAGTGTGAAGGGCTTCACCTAAAGCTACACTTCTAACTCAGTCCGAGGGTTAATGGGAATTTGACTCTGGCTTAATTCGTTAGTTTTTCCAAAATAAGGAAACGATAAAGTTTTAAAGCTGGTAATGGCAAACAATTGTGGGTAAAAAAACAGACAGCAGATTACATATGCATGAGTGTTAGCACAGTTAGCACAAAATCTTAACCCGATTGTTTGCAGATTAGGGGCCGCCATCCCAGAACTAGGAAATCACAATCTCTCGGAGTGGGGCCACAAGTGAGTTTCCTGTGATGCCGCCCACCACTATCCCCGTTGAGCACACTGAGGCCCACAGAAGCTAGGTGCTATCCCCGTGCTCAGGACGAGTTGGGGACAGCCGCGGGCCGACGGCCCCAGCGCTAACTCCCGCCAGTCGGCCGGGCCCTGCCACGTCCCCGCCCAGCCCGGCCCGCCGGCGGCCTCCGCGGTCCGCCTGCTCCCGGCGCTCACAGATGGGGATGGCGGACACGATGAAGGCATTCCCGAAGAAGAGCGCGGAGGACTTGGCCGAGAGGTTGCGGCTGAAATCCTGCAGAAGCAAATCCTCCTCGGACTGCTGTTTGGAGCCGCCTTTGGGCGCCATGGTGGAACGGAGCCTCGAGCCTAGAAGGCCGGGCTAGGTAAACGCCGCTGGCACCACCCCCGCGGCCGCCGTAGCCGCTAACGCCCCGTCAGCGCTACGCGCGGAGGCGGGACTCGGCGCGGCGCGGGAGCAAGCTTGCCCAGGATTGGCCCCCGCTATGTACGTTTCCCGGCGTGATTCGGCAAGCCGGCCAGACTTCCGGGTTCCTGGCCAGCCCCTTGGCTAGTGGGCTTCAGGAAGGCGGAGATTTGTAGTTTCGTGGATGCTGTTTTTTTTTTTTTAATAAAGAAAACTTTATTGACATTCCACTTCACAGGTGCCATCACGCTTTCCAAGTCGTTGGAATTCCAAAATAGGAAGCTGTTCTGGCCTCGAGTCATTCAGTCGGTCATTCAACGAGAGAACGGTTAATACCCTCTGCGTGTACCCGGCACTGGGGCATTTGAGGAGGGAGTGAAGAAAAGTATAGCTAAACAAGCCCGTGTAAAGTCCTTTCTCCTTTACACATCCATTATCGCATTAAATATCCTCGAAATCCTTTGAGATGCACATCGTTGTCCCTATTTTGCAGATGAAGACCCTGAGGGCGAGAGCCCAGCCGAGCTAGTGTCCAGGGCGTTGACTGTTTTCAACAAAATAACAGTCTACCTTTTCAAGAAAACGAAGGCACTTTGGCTCTGGTCTAATTGATGAATACTTAACATGAGTCTAATACATTTACAAATCACAATTACTTTATTTCAACTCAATCTTTAGAGTAATGTGGACTCCATAGCCATGCTAAAAAAGCATAATACTAAGTAAAGAACATGTTGGCTAGACAGGCCTCCTCTGAAGCTCAGAAAATTGAATATGCCTGTTAAAACAACTAGATATAATTCTTAACTCATTGCATTATCACTTTTTCTTTAAAAAAAAAAAAAACTCAACCACTTCATTCATAGCAAAAACTTCTTTCATCTACATTATTGGCATCAGGCAAACTTCTCCAAACTTCAGCTTCCCTATCAACAGATTAGTAGAGCTTTCATCTTAATTTCATCCAAATTGCAATTGACTTCCAGTGTTTCCATTCTTATGGAGCTTCCTGTCTGCAGCTTTTCAGTCTATTCTCTATATAGGTACCATAGTGAGTGTTCCTAAAATAGGTCTTTCATATAAATGCCAGAAGTCTTTATCAATAACAGCAAAATAAGAAAAAATAGACTAGTGATTCTTTTCCAGAAACTTAAGTATTCATTTAAAAATATCTGCAATACGTCCTTTTAAAATGGTACAATGCTCTTCTATTCTGCAATGGTGGTGAGAGAGAAGAAACTCTTACTTTCTCTTCCAACATACTCCCCTCTCAGTTTTTTCTACGGTAGATCACACCATTTTTTACCCATTTGTTCAGACTACAGTGCTAGTTGTCAACACTAATGCCTTTCTTTCCCTCTCCATCTGTGACCAATTCATCAGCAAAACCTTTTGGATCTGTCTTTATACCTAGATTTCTTGTTTACTCTTTACAAACCAAGGATATAAAAAGATAAAATCAGAAAACTGTAAGATCAAAATCGAGATAGTTAAAAGTAAGAAACAATGATGAAAGAATTATACCTGAGAAAAGTATTTAAACAAAATAGCAAAGATAAAAGTTTGAAATGTTGAGTGTAGATTATAAAAACATTAAAATTGAAATGATCAAAGGAGGTAGCTTTGCAAACCAAGAATAAAAACTGAAGACAATAAAGATAGGGGCGCTTGGGTAGCTCAGTCTTTAAGTGTCTGCCTTCGGCTCAGGTCATGATCCCAGGGTCCTGGGATGGAGCCCTGCATGGAGCCCCTCATGGAGCTCCCTGCTCAGCGGGAAGCCTGCTTCTCCCTCCCACTCCCCCTGCTTGTGTTCCCTCTCTCGCTGTGTCTCTCTCTGTCAAATAAATAAAATCTTAAAAAAAAAAAAAAGACATTAAAGATAAACAGAAGAGAATCTAAAATAGTAGGAATTTAAATTCTTTATAGGGTAAGATAAAGAAATATGTAACCAATGATGTTAACGACAGAGAAGGTTTTTTGGTGATGGTAACAATGAAGACATGAAGATAGCACACTAGAAATACTAGAACAGTGTTTTCTTATACCAAATGCAATCTAGTTCCTTTTGAAGAACCGCAAAATCTAAGGATCATCTATATGTGGCATATGTGGCCATGGCACATTAGACAAGCAGAGTAAAAGGTGTGCTGAAAAAACAGAAGGAAGGGTAGGCAATAGATTCTATGCAAAGACTGCAATATATTTTGGCTATTTCAATATAGTTTAACTCTGTGAAGGAACCAGATGGACTTGAGTCCATCCCAGCTTGATTCTGATCTGTGAATTTAAGGCTTAACATTTCCATCACTTCAGGGCCGCCTGGGTGGCTCAGTCGTTAAGCGTCTGCCTTCGGCTCAGGTCATGATCCCAGGGTCCTGTGATCCAGCCCCGCATCGGGCTCCCTGCTCAGTGGAGAGCCTGCTTCTCCCTCTCCCACTCCCCCTCCTTGTGTTCTCTCTCTCGCTGTGTCTCTCTCTGTCAGATAAATAAAATCTTAAAAAAAAAAAAAAAACATTTCCATCACTTCATACCTAGATTGCAGAAAAAAAGGGGGGGGGAATTTAAAGAAATAACATTTATTACTGGCAGGGACAAGGATAACAAATTTCTCTCATCCACTGCTGATGGCTTTGTGGAAGAAAATCCAACAGGGTAAAAATTAATACACCTTTCTTGTGACACACACTGCAAATTGCCTAGCCAGTAAAGAAAAACACAGCTTTTTACTGGGGCCCTATAAAAATAACAGATGAGGGCACCTGGGTGGCTTAGCCGGGTAAGTGTCTGCCTTCAGCGCAGGTCATGATCCCAGGGTCCTGGGATGGAGTCCCACAACGGGCCCCCTGCTCAGCTGGGAGTCTGCTCTTCCCTCTCCCTCTGCCCCTCCCCCAGCCTTGTGCTTGGTCTCTCTCTCTCTCAAATAAATAAAATCTTTAAAAAGTAAAGAAAAGAAAAATAACAAATGAATCATCATGGACTACTCTTGGGTAGGAGGGGAGAGGAAAAGCTCTTCGTTATACAAAGGCCATTTGAAATGCAAATCTCATTATGGAAATGATTTTTGAAAGAAGAGATTAAACACTTCTTTTAGTTTCTAGATATAATATTTTAAAGTCCCATCTGAGAGATGATTTACTCAGCCAAACTACATATTTCAGGCACTGGTATGTGATTAATTCATTGGTTCATCTCTTCATTCAGCTGAGATTTATTGAGAAGCTACTATGTAAAAGGTACTGTGCTAGAGCCTTGGAAATATCCAAATAACAATCATAATTATGATTATAATAACCAAAGTTTATTGAGTCTTTGTTATACATCCAGGTCTATGCTAGGCTCTTGATATATCATCTAATTTAATTCTTACAGCAACACTATGAGATGTGTTATTATCCCCATTTCTCAGATGAAGAAACAGAGGCATAGATTTGTAAAGTAGCTCACCTACGATCCCCCAACCAGTAATTGGTGGAGTCAAGTTATAAACCCTAGGCAATCAGACTCTAGGACGTGAACTCTTAACTACACGTGGGTTCTGGTCTCCTCTGTACCAGCAGAGTCTCAAGATCTAAGTGCCTGCCCCAGAAGCCCTATTTTGAGCAAACAGCCGAGGGTAGTTTCTTGTGTGCCAGTTGCCACACTGCGGCTCTGGCCGGCACAACATTGCACAGCTAGGATCCTGCACTAAACCCATAGGCAAACCTCAGTGAGGAAGCCTGGACTCTCACAGTGGAGTCTGTCTCAAAGAGTGTGAAAATAAGATGTCAGAAAGAAACACAGTTGTTAGAGGTGCACAGAAACAGAGCCAACTAAGAGGTGGAAACCATAAACCATAACTCACCAGCAGCCATAAATTAAAGAAAGGGAAATTAGATGCTCAAAGGGCCTCAAGGCTTTCTCATTTCCCTCTCTAAGCCTGAACAACACCTGCAATGAAGCAAAAACACTCACTTCAAAAATGAAAAACAAAAATGAAAACAAAACAAGTTAGAAATAGAGGGAAATAAATATAAACATTTTTTACATACAAATATATTTTACATACAAATGAAAAAGATGAATAATTGTGTTCAACATAACTTAGCAATTTATCACCTCTTCCCCCCAAAATGTTTAAGGCAAAAGGAACAAAATCAAATGCATACATGATCCAGACAAGTAACCTGTGACATAATAAAAAATACGTACTTGGTCTCCACCCAGCTTCCTGACACAGAACTCCTAAAATCCTTGGAATTGCCTGAGTGATAGGAATGAGAGGAGCAGCTCTTGTTTTTTTTTTTATAAGCCCCTGCCAAGCACACCTGAGTTTGTTAATGAACTGGCTCTTGCAGGATAGGGGACTTGTTCCACTAGGAACCAACCTTGGGATTAGAGAGGGTTGGAACTTTAACCCCACTCCACCACCACCTCTGGGGAGAAGAGAGTAGAGAGGGGATGGAGACTGAATCACCAGTGGCTAGTCTTAAGTAAAGCACTTTCCTGATTCTGGGAGCTGTTCCCACAAATTATCAAACCGGAGGAGGGGGTTATGGAAACCCTCGATTTTAGCCAGTTGGTCAGAAGCACCGATGACAATTTGGGATTTGAGATTAGCATCTGATGTGGGCTTTAGTCTTGTGGGACTGAACCCTGAACCTGTGAGGTCTAAGCATTGAGTGAAACTCTGGGACACCCCGTTGGTGTCCACTGAAAATTAAAGAACAGCTTAGGGTGGAAAACCCACACGTTGGTGTCAGAAGTGTTGAGAGTAGAAGGAAATAGGTTTGCTTTTCCTTTTAGAACTGCAATAAGTGAATTATGTAAGCCAAACACAATACATTTGGGGTTTAATCTGCCCCATAAATTCCTAGATTTATAGAGACTTGAATGTATTCAATATAGGAAAAAGTGTTCAAGGTGTTGCAGTGTGTGTTTTTCCACACCACCAAGCAATTAATCCTCCGACACTGACCAAGGTGTTCCACAACCTGAACTCAGTTCTGACACTACCTACCTGG